CAAGCAACTGGGCTTTGGCTGAAGTAACTCTTACTTTGTCGTAGACAATGGATTTTCTGAAAGATTTACTACCCATTCATCTTTTAATTCCTTCTTTGTTGGTAGTGACAGTTTGAGTAGTTTATCATTTAACTTCTTCCTCTAATTCTTACCTTTGGTTTTAGTTGTTATGTGTATGATGGCTGTCACGTCGCTCACCAAATCTGGTCCGATGCAATGTACGCAGACCATCATGATCACAAATTCGACTAGGAATACGTGGAAATACTTCAGACAGAAGGTTCAACAGCCCACGGAGCCAAACTTAACATAATTGATCAATCTTATGATCTATTTACAATCTAATAGGGACATTTACAAACAAAGAAGAAGGACACCTCTGGAATCTCAATACCAGGATTGATCGCTGAAGCAGCGATGGAACGGCTGAAATCAACAGTAATCTTTCTCATCAAACCAAAAATATGGATTTGGAACGTTGAAGGCATGTTCGTTATTCTCAAGGAAGATGAAATATAGAATTCATCCAAACTAATCAACCAAACATTTGAAAGGATTCACTTCACAAGGGAGGAGTAGGCTAACTACAAAACGTCGTTCTTAGACTCCCTCCTCAGCATAACACACGTTGAGACATTGCAGACTCAAGTGAACAGGAAAATCACACACACTGATCAACTTTTGAACTGCAAAAGCAATCATGACACAGTTCATAAGAAATGTTGCGTACGAACGCCAATGCATATTGCAGCACTGAACCACTGCAGAAAACCGAAGAAAAACATCTACACAAAGTGTTCAAAGCCGTTGGTTATCCACTCAACTTGATCAGAAAGCATTTATCATCAGGACAGAAGGCAAAGTGATTACTTTAAATCAACAGGTGTGTTATACTACCTTACATCAAAGTTGTCTCAGAACCTGTCAATCGACTACTTCTTCAGTACGGGATCACAGTAGCACACAAAGTAACGAAATTACTACACAGCCAAAGGATCCATCGATAAAGGAGAATGAGACAAATACAATCTACAAGATCAGTTGCAGAGGCCGTTCACAACATTATGTTAGCCTGTCTAGCCGTCGGATTGCGCAAAGAATTCATTAACACCAACTAGCAATATAGTGGTATGAAACAGTCTCCTTGATTGCATTGCACAAAGACAATCATGATCATAAATTTGACTGGAAGATGAAAAAATCCTCCAAAGAGTGGGTCCAAAAGCTGCAAGGGAATTTCTAGAAGCACAGCACTCGAACGAAAGATCAACAGACATGTGGATACAGACCTAATCCATAATCTACTTAGGAAGAAATACAGTCATCCATCAACCTAGAGAAAATTGACCAAACAAATCAACAATGATGATCAGTGTGACAGCAACGAACTGAACAATTTCACTCTAACATAGGTTATCCACCAGCGGAACCGAAGGTAATTTAAGGTCAAAAAATGAAACATTTCTTCCCCAGCTTACAATTGGACAATACCCTAAGTCAGCGAAAACACTGCCTAAACATTAAAGTAGCATTCAAAATGCTCCACTTCTTTGTGAATTTAGTTCTGACGACGTCACCAAGTCAGCTGATGCAGCGTCTACAACAAAAGATTACAGCTCAGAGAACACCACACCACTAACAGAATATAACCCTGTTTGAAGACAGAACGTTTTCACTAGACATCACTTAAGTATTCACAAACGTTCTGTTTACGAGAACAATTGGTTTCATCATTCAGTCCTGAATCTAAATAGTGGTGTCAGACCATTGACTGAAATAAGGTTCTTCCAGACAGAAGTTCAATGTTCATTTCAGATTTAACGACTCTTAAAAAAGACGATGGTATGGAATCAGGTCGTCTCTTGGACTACTTTATGTCTAGCCTAAAAACAGCATTTTATTTGCGACAATAAACCAATTTCATGTAAACGAAAGATATATGAATGACAGCATTACCGTCAGTGACCACAGTCAAGAAGTGATGAGCAGCCTTCAGATGTTCGACGGCTTTTATCCTTCAGTCAGTCTTAGGCTGAACTGTTTATGAAACTTGACATTTAATATCCTTGATGTTTAACATGAGAATATAACTTACAATCCTACTAGAAGATCCATGTGCAAGAAACCCAACATGGAATGGCAGCTAACCATGTCCTAACTCTGGGTCTCTCGAAAGCAGATAGAGTTGTAGTGGCAAGTAAAATTCGACTTTATTGGCCTCATAATTGTCTCACCGTAGTTATGCTCCCTGTTTGTTTTCATTTCCTAGATATTTTCCGGAGAAATAGTTGCATTGAAAAGTCCCTCCTATTTTTGGTTTTTTTTTATTTCATTTGCCAACTTTCTGAAATATTTTTGGCTGGTTTTATTGCTTTGTATTATTCTTTCATTCGTGCTGTAAACCTATTCTGACTGCTCTATTAACGCTAACCTGAAATTCTTTCTAAACTTTTATCCTTTGAGTTATGTTGTTTCTAAAAATGTTCACCGTTTAACTGAATTCACCGAAAAGATAATATTTTCACTACAACTGTCTCCTTATCTTTTCCAATAGCTGAGTGGGGTTATTTTCCCATATGCTGCTAAATTTTAACTGTTCGAAGACCTGGATTAAGCAGAGCTTTCTGAAGACTGGTGCCATACATGTAAAACTAAAACAAAGTGCCCCTCAGTGTTATGTTGTTTAAATCAGTGGTGACAGTGAGATAAATCCCAGTGAATACACAGGCTTCGACAAGTTTTTCTCTTGTTGCTGCTGGTTTTAGTTATTTCCTCATCGTTGTCTAGTGATAGGATTTATCTTAAGAAAATGACATAAGCTGAGGAACTGTTGGCAATCACTGTGTGGTCGGTGGCTTTTGGATCTTGATTTTAAAACGACTGAGTAGTTTAATTTCCAGATAGTCTTTGAGAGCAGATATAGGGTATATAGGCTTCTGGGAAGAAATCAAACATCAGTACTAAGACATATTCGCTCCTGATAATTGTTTGATGTTTTCCAAGCTTTGAGTTTTATTTCTGGACATTTCATCAACAGGCTAGAAAACTTTATCGGTATTTATATGTGTAGTAAGTGCCGATAAAGTCGCTTAGCCTGGTGACAAAACCTTAGAAAAAAACCTCAAAGAACACCAGAAAGTTATCATCCTCATCTTGAGCTACAAATCTTCCCTGCTATCTCATAGTCATTAGTGCAAAAAGAAGATTCCTTTCAATGATAACTTTTTTTTCAAGATTAATGCGGATCCTATTTCTAAGCGACTTTAAAGACCACCCTGGCAGCGATCGAAATAACTAATCAGGTGTCTATACTTCACCTGGAAAGGCACATTTTCAAAAAATAGAGAAGTTTAATTGGTTATTTAAGTCGTTCCTAGGGTGGCCTTTAAAGCCAATCCAATTCCTGAATAGTGAAAGATTGCATATTGGTAAAGAGACTCAAGAAACAAACAATATTCTACTCTGCACTCATTGGTGAGTAAGAATTTTGATTGGACTGGTCACACTCTCTAAACTATTAAATGAACGGTCTCATGATTTTACCCTTTTACAGAGCATCCTAACAATGACAACTTTCAAGATAATTCTTCCTAATAATGTAGGAATTCCTTAACAGGACTGCACTTGGAAGCAGTGTTTATGTTACAAAGATGCCGATGCATAGAATTGAGTACAAACAGTAAACAAGTAGTTGTTTGTTTTTCGTATAAGCTTAGTGTGAAATCTGCTTCTTCTATTAAATGCTAACAGGATAAGACTTCATATTTTAACACGTAGTACCATTTCCTTACACCAGGGTCATCAAGAAAAAATCGTGGATAAACAGAAATGAACAATAAGTACTAGGTGGTTAACACGGTGTACCACTAAAAACCAATTCACTCAAGATACTGAAATGACGAAGAAATATCAAAGCTCATAGAACACTGAACCACCCTCAGTGAAGATACTGTGTGTTATAAGTATTATTGCTAGCATGAATACACATATACTAGTATAGTTAACAATAATTAGCAATGTATCCTCCGATTGACTATATTTTTTTAAATTTTACTCACAATTTTGCTTGGTAAGCACTATATTTAAGAATAATTTTACAAGTTGTAGGCAATATCCAAAATATCCTGACAAAAGTCATCACTCACTAATTGATATATTCATTATATGCAATTATTTAACTTGATGTTAAGATCAATCAGTTGGAAACTAACTATTCAACTTAATATTACATTTTGATGTCCATATTTAAGACGAATTTCCAACTGAAACCTAATAGTAAATTGATTATTGTTCAACACTGACACCGCCTACCAAGCATATCAGTAGGCTGAAACATATATGTCTAAAATAATAGATTATTGAGCAAGAAGTGAACTTGTTATACACAAAAAAATATTCAACTATGTATACATTAGGCATATAAGATGATTAGCTGAGATTGAGTTTTAACAAAGCAAAACAATCAGCAAAGTATGACAATGTGAATTTTAAAGAATCTATTCATTAAATAATTTTTAATTCGTTCAAACTAGGTTATTTATAGGCAGTTGAATGAACATGAGACGCGTGGGGAAACAAGTTTTTTTCAGGAATCAACAGAAGAAAAGTAATAAGAGGTGATCAAGTAAACTGAGATAAAATAAGAATAGTAGTTTTTGAAAATAACTGAAAGCATCACAAATAACCAGTGAAAGTCAACTGGTCAGTTTTTGTTAAACATCAGCTAACCTTGAAAGGACAAAAAAAAGCTTAAATTATATATGATTAATTTCAATGTGTGCAGCAAGAAGGATTTCTTTGGTTAATCCAATGTTGAAACACGGGGGTTAAGATCAAATTATTCACTGGAAATATTTATGTACACAAAGATAGTGACTCAGTTTTAGAATCTCCAACCATTCAATTGTTTGTTTTTCGATGATAGATGGTTGACAATTTGAAGTTATAAGAGCTCAGTAAGAATGCATCACTATTTGTTGTCGTCAACATGAAAGTTATTGCAAGAAATGCGGAGAGGAATTTCAACTACGAATACTACCGGTTACTCCATACGCCGGTACAGGCCTTGGTCGAAGTGACGGTTTGCCAGATGACTTTTGTCCAGCTATCTGCGTACTCAATGACATTTTATTATCGGATGAACAAATATTATCATTTTGATCACTATGGTGATCTTCTTCATCTTCGTGAGAAGTTATTGCTTTGAAATTTACACTTCTTTGATTCGGTTTTGTACCTAAAGTTTCTAGAAAGTCTGTACCAGTACAAAATTTATCCTCGCCACCGGTATCACAAAGACTTATATGATTCTGTGAATTGATAAGTGAATTAGCATCCAGTTGCATTAGAATTGTACGAAATCTCGACAATTCCACAGCATCATTTGCTCTCAACTTTTTAATTTCATCTAATTCGTCCATAAGAGTTTGAAAACGTTCAGTTAAACACTTCTGTCCTTTTATCCAATCATTTCGAAGTTGTAAATGCATTTCCTGAGAAGAATAGATGAAAAAAGAAAAAAGAATTTTAAACAACTAACTGAATATCCAACATAACACTTACATATATTGCAGTTTATGTTTTGTAGTATGGAAAATGTTTTACCACTTAAGGATAAAATACACGGGAAAGCTATAGGTATTCGATCATAGTGCTATTCAATAGTCAATGATGTTTATATGAAGATGAGAACCACTATCACGTAACTGGACGTGAATATATTTGTTAACGAGAATGTGAGATAGATGAGACGTTGCAATGAGCGAAGACGCATATAGTACTACTGACTAACCAATAAGGGGGTTTTCTATCAGTTTAAACCATTTATGTACAACTGGCTGTCAGGATAGTGAAACCTGCGAGTGGTGAATCTTCAGTGATATTTAAGCTAGAAGTGAGATATTACAAGGTTACGCTGTAATTTGAAATGTATACTGTGTAAACGAACACGAAAGGGATTAGAAGAAGTTTAGAACTAGGAAATATACATGTGGTATCTCTGCAAAATATTCAAAAGTTCTAAACATTATAAGGTTACATGAAAATGTTCTGCACTAAAATTTGTTACTTCTCATTGTTAATTTGCTATACCAAACTAAGGCAACTAACTTCTAGTTGCAGCCTGAATATTTCACTTGATGATGTGAAGATCTGTAGTGATTTGTTTCTATTGGTATATAGGGTGATTTTATGAATACCATGAAGCTGCAGCTAATCGTTATTCACGACTAGTTAACAACGGATCGCTGAAAGGAACTCCTTATCCTAGGAATTAACGCGTATGCATTCAAGGTAATGAGTGCAGTAAAAAAGTTGCGACTGCAACATCTATGCACCTAGTTGCCGACACATTCACCAACCGAATTTCGAACACAAGGAAACGTGTATTCCGGACTTTATTGTAATTTACCACTGGAAAAAACATCAGTTTCTGCTTGCAAACAGTCTCCTTTTACATATGACCTTATATTTTGGAGATATACGTTTTAGTGGTTTGGTGGTGACTAGAAACATAATCTAAGACGTATAATTTTTCCTGTTTAGAACAGTAAGGTTGAATGGATGCATACCTGTGCTTCTGTATTCCATGTGATTGGAACTCTATTGATGACTTCTGATTGAGTGGAAATGGATATTCTGATTTTAACTACAACTCACCATGAACAAAACTTATATGTCGTATTTACACCTTTCGCATCCTGATCAAAAACGTTAATAAACCAGTTGGTTTGTACAACGTGAAACAACAGAGTAGAGACGTTTTTTAAAAATTGTTTACAGCACAACTTACTTTGAATTCAGTGTCTCCAGTATATGTATGTGGAAATATAAGAGAGATGATGATGAGACAAGAATCAACAGATGAATTATGAGTGCACTGTCCAAGACCTATCCGGCTGCGAGACTTATCTCACTGCATCAAATACAATATGCAATTACACAATCCAGATTTGACAAAGTTCCAACTCTTGTTAACTCCAACTATATTTATCAATTTACATGTACATGCGGTAACAGGTACGTTGGAAGAAAATATAGGCGGTTGTCTACCAGGATTTCCGAGCACATACCAAGGAGTCTACATCTCAGAGGTCCATCTTCCTTTAGCAGTACAACAGCTCGTCACTTATGGTAATACAGGATGCGACGAAATCCTTCAACAAAAAAGACCCTGTGCTAACTTTGAATTCCTGAAGCTGTCACTATCTGACGAGTTCAACCTGAACTGTGTACCCAAGAGTAGACAGTTACTAATTTACTATTGACCTAGTATGTAGTAAATTTGCGAGCTCTCATCTTTCCCAAAAATATTTCTAATGCATTTATTTTGTGCTCATTCATAGCCAGATTCATATTGATTGGTGTTTTAGTATAATTGTATTTGTTACCACTAGGATAACTTTATCTCACCCACCAATCATTTCGTCAACATAATATTTTCACATGATTATGCAACTCTTCCTACTTCCTTCTAATCTTATCTAGTCAATTTGTTTCAGATGGAGATATTCAAAGTCAAAAAGTTAGTGTGTTAAAATACCAAATGGTGATACTTGTCCACATCGAAATTAATGCAACTGAACGTAAGTCGTAACCAGGTTTCGTTGTTCACCTGACACAAAACCTGATAAATAATACTTATAGGTTAATTAGTTAGGATTCAAGTACGGCTTAATTTTTATTTCAAGTTTACTGTTATTTTCTACGTGAGGAGTGCAACAAAAAAGATTTCAATTTTGCAACAATAAACGTAGTATTCAACTGAAGACAAAATATAATCCATAGTGATAAGCCGTAAACATTATTTTTTTTAAAATCAAACCAATAATACCTTAAGGGAATCACATTCACGTCGAATATCACGTAATTGTTGCCTAACTTCATCCTGAAACTGGTCAAATTGATGCTGTACATCATTTGGTTGACTTTTACTACGATGATTAGACACTGGTTGGTTTGAAGTTTGGAGATTTTCAGAGCTTCGGTTTAATTCACTGAACCATTCGAACCATCATTTCTCTGAATAGTAGCTAAAATGATTAATATAAGTGTAGTAGTAGAACGTAATTCCAAATTAGATTTGTTTATTTGATATACAATATAGCACTTAGTGATACGGTATTATTTACTTAGTAAAAATAAATTTAGAACTCATTCTTTAGTGAACTCACTCCAACACCTCTTAGTTGATACTGAATCAACTAATGAAATGGACAATATATAAAGTAAATTTTAGACAAAGGTGTTTGCTATTTACTATATGGTTGAAAATATGCTTCTAGATTTCGTCGCCTTTTTCTACATTTACCAATCCATCTCTTCGTGTACAGAAACGTATATCACCACTTTTAACAAATGCACAACAGCATGCTTCTGCTAGACATACCAGGAAAATGAAGGATAAAGTCTATACAATCCATACACTCTCACAATTAGTAGACTGTAGTCAATTACTCATTCCCTACGTCATGTTGAAAATCATAACATCCTGGTTAGTAACACCTTGCAAATCAAAATACTGCTACTTTATGAAGTTTTTAACATGCGAAGTAGTTCATTGTTGTGTTGTACTTACTTATTTGTCAACCCGGCTATCAATACAGCATTAAGGCAATATGTATTCATATTTTATCACACAGGAGAATTGTTTGTAGGTTGAACATCAATAACTATTATCGACAGTTGAGTTTCACACGCATCAGAAAACGCAAAATACCAATAACAACGAATAACGAATAGCTAAACAGTATTCGGAGGACTGTAAAATTTCTACTAAACCAAATAAGAATGACCAGAGGAGAGTCAGTAAAGGAAGTTGAATACCCTTCAGTATGGTTGCAACTTACGATCTCTCAGTGTATACGTGAATTGAACATTTGAATTTCTCCCGACATATACTATCTTTAACTCAAGGAAGATGTCCAAATTTCTACTAAGGAACAAGTGTACTTATAACTGTAATGAGCTTTGTTTCACCAAATATCTGTTAAAAGTGGCCATAGAGAGTTTACCAAAGGACTAGGTATTTTACCATTACCGTCTTACTAGTAGCGCTTGTTTCTAATAGGATCACCATGTGAACAGGTGCAGATAAATAAGTTGCTGAAGTTGTGAATTCTGACCTCAGAAACACAAATAACATTACAACTGGAGCTGAGATGTAACCACACAGCGCCACAAGTTATTTTTGGTGGGTTGATTGAATGGCGAACTAATGAATTTGATGTTTACAGGGGTTGTGAAATAAAAAAAGGAAGAACAACTATCATTACCAGCTGAGAACTCTCAAATGACTTTTGAAGATGAAATACACTTATTGCACTGAAGATAAAAAGATTCATTATGTACAGGGTTCATTTACAAGTGACATTAATCACATTAGTCACATTAGTTACATTACTTAACAGTAAATGTTTGGTCACTAATTTAATTACTAGTACATCCATTTCCCTGAAGCATATTTCTAAATACGATTTCACCAATTGACAATCTTTTTCCTACTTATTTCAAAGAATATACTCAAATGACTCAATTATGCTTTACTGAAAACAAATTATCTGAATCCAAGCCTTCTTTGATAAGAAAACTATTCAAAAGAAGAGTGTGGTCATGATAAACAGACGATCATGTGACGTGTATTCACATGAGTTTACAGTCTGATCAGCAAATGTGCCTCTTGACTCAGTTGGTACAGCAGCTGGCAGGTAATTATTTGGGTAACCTGGTTAGAACCTTGTTACGACCTAAGTTTTCATTTCATTTTTAATTGTCAACTTATATCAAAAAGGAATTATTGGTGACTCATTTCAATAATCGAATAATAACTATGCAGTGCTTTTCATAACAGATTAAAAGCAATTAAAAAACCACTGAAAGCGTACAGTACTGGACAATTATTTTATCCTACTTCTAAACTCTTTACACTTAAGACTTTAAGTCAGGTTGTACCTCATATTCAACACCTATCGTTTCAACCAGTCGGTTCAAAACTATCCATATTTATAAAATTCTATTAGTTTATGATCTGGAAGTATCATCAACAGAATCCAAACGAAGTGTTGATTAGTAGCTGATTAAGAAACGGATTTTGCAAAGTTCAGGTCACATAAGACGAGCTCAGTTCAATGATGTAGCCCATGGATGTCTTCAAATAATGGTAGCACCATATTAAGGATTCACAAAGTTTAAAAGCTGTAAACCAGTGGATTTAAATACAGTGGCTGGGCTGAATAGAAGTGGCTTCACTGTGAGATACGACTTTTTAACAGAAAGTTGCAGATATTTAATTGAAAGTTTATAAACCCATTTAAATACTAGTCAGTCAAAATTAAGGATTCGTAAAATAAAAGTATGTGAGCACATCATATGTACTATCAATGTTAGTGCTTCGTTTAGTACATACTGAAGTCTTTTAACTTACAGTTGCGAAAACTATAAAGAATTAAATGATTTTCACTAACATTTGAACAAAAAAAAACTGAATTTGCTGAAAAATATAATGTGAAACAAAAATTAACTGAATGAAAATAAATGCAAAGTGAACGGCTAGAATTAAATTAGAACATTAAACTAGCTTACACGAAAGCCTAAATTTCGTTTCCAGATTTTGTGAACCACACAAACGATGTCTGTTATTTATAGAATTGTTTCGTTCACATTTACCAGTAGCTAAAACTTTACTTATTGAACCGTGATGTGGATGATGATTAGACAATTTTAAGCTGTTTGAACTGGGTGCAGGTGAAGTACTTCGATATGCTATATTCGACGCTATATGGTCTAATAATATAAATAACATGAGTTAAGTTGTAAAACTATACGCTGGTGTATACATTGATACCGAATAAGAATTTGAGACTAAGTTCAATAAATATTGAGATATGTCGATAAAAATCTCAGGTATTTTGATTAGAGAAACCAGGAGATCATTAATTCATTTCTTGCTATAATAGGCGTTATCTCTCAAATTCAGTCACCATTTCAAGGTTATGATATTACAAAGAAATAGCCTGAAGCCGATGGTCCCATAATGAGGGCAATGCAAAATGGTGAATAGATACTAACAAATAGAAGTCTTCAAAACATGATACAGTATTACAATGCGACATAAAAGCTACCACGTTCAACATTAGCACATCACAGTAAAATGCAACAAGAAAGAAGATAAAGTAATGAACATGATATTCTCAAAAATTGTAGATGGCTGCAAGGCAAAAAGAAAGGGTGATAAAATGAAGAACGAAACCTCATACTACGATTAAGATAAAGATATGGGTAAGTCTGCATTGTTTTAAATGGTATTGTTCAGATTATTTAATCATAGACTTCCAGGAGTTAGAAAAACTTCAGTAGATTGCACAACATATTGGTTTGAGTGACCGTCGATTTCTTCTTGTTGCAGTAGACGATAAGTTGGCATGTTTGACACGAGTTCACAATCCTACCAAGCAAAGTTTTATCTGAGACGTCTAAATTTCTAATCTGGTGCTTTCACTATATGAAGGCATATCCACAACGTGGAAGGTGGTCAAAATCATGAAGTTCTGTCATAAACCCGTCCTCGAACCTAAATTAGCAGTTCAATGTCTCACTCTGACCCTGAAAAAAGTGCCGAAGTTAAGGCTTCTTTCAAATTTTTCTGGTCATTATCACGTCCATCTGATATAGATGTAATCAGAACTATATGTTTGAAGACGATTTACGATAACGTATGGTGAACAACATTTATGATACTGATTAATGTGAATAGATAATTTTACAAACATCATTGCTGAGAAATGTGTTTTTATGGACCAATATTATCTGAGCAGTCAATGGTGATTAGAAAGTACTAAAGGTATGTATGTTCAATACCAGTTAGAAAGTCATTCAATTTGAACAACTCTGGTTAGCTTGCAGATCCTAACATTATTTATCCAAACCATTAGTAGACCAGTAACAGACTAGCTAGTAAGATAAAAACTAGTGAACCTGGGACCTTATTAAAAGTATCATGTAAAAAAATTAGCAAAAAGATTGGGATTTCATTGTCGACATCTATATCGCCTAGTCTACGAGGATTAAACTTGTATGTTGACAAATATCCGATTGCTGGTTCCTAAATAGAGAACACAAAGCCGTTTCTCTTGTTTTCTAACCAGGCTGTGAGACTTGCGATAGCTTCAAATAATCAGTAGGAGATACAGTACCCCTGTGGTGTCCATTGTTTGAATGAACAAAACATTAAGCTTGCCAGATAGCCTATAATACGCAAGAATAGAGCTAACGTACTTCTTCCTAGAGTCTAGGGAGGTCAAAATCAAGATAATGTGAAAAACTTTACCATTGCCAGATATCCACATATATTTTAGATTTGAAAATCTCATGAAAATCATAAGAAATCTGTGCGAAAAATGATATAACTGTGATACATAGGACATGAAGTGAGCTTATCAAGGAAGCAGAGAAAATTACTGATATCACTACTGGAACCAACAGTTGACAACCAATAAAAGTTCTGATTTGTCAACTCGAAAAGTTGCTATTCATAAAGTTTCAAGCATAACATTCTAAAGTTTAGTCCTATATATTACGAGAAGCCCCTGAAAGGTAAAAACAATGGTAATTATCCATAGATGGACTTGGTGAGGGAAAGATTTCCAGTTAATTCATAGAATTCAATACAAGTATGAATAATATGAACAATTCCTTCTAGCTTATTGACTAACTAGCTATGTAGTTTACAAATTTAAGACTGCAGTAAAAAGATAGAAACAAAAACGTATAATCCAGATTGGCATTCATCATGGGCTGACTTTGGTTGGAGAACTAGACACCTATTTCATCCTAGTGCAGAACTCCTCAGCAGTCCGTATCCACGACCGTGATAGGGATCAAACACAAAACTTTCAGGTTTCCCGGCAAACGCGTTAACAATTCACTCACTAGATAGGATGGAATTCAATGGTCCACAGTTTCCTACTTCTCTCGATTTGCGATATAGCGCAACTATCATCCTCGGTTTTCATTTGAAAGTTAATCCCCATTAACTCCCAAAAACATTCTGTACAGTACTCATTAGTGACATGCTTCCAGATGGATATCTAAAAGTCCTAATGAATAGCCGTGACCTGAGGAGTCAATCAGTCGGAAGTGAAGTGGATAACATCTGAAAACCTTGGGTGATTGTCACACTATAAGGTGAATTGATAGACGCTGGAAACTGTGAACAAAAGAACTCCGACCCAGTGACTGAATTGTTAACCCATTTGCCGTGAAACTCAAAGGTCCTGAGTTCGATCCCTAACCGGGTCATGGGTGTGTACTGCTGAGAAGTCCCACACCAGGAGGAAACAGCTGTCCAGTGCTCCCAGGTTTTCAATAGTTCTCTAAATGATATCACTCCTTGATGAATACTACCTCAAAATAAAAATCCACCATTAACTCCAACATACATTAGCTACTTATGTTAATTGTAAGTAGCTTCAAGTATACACAAAAATTAAACGGGTTCTACAACTCCGGTATATATTTAGTGATAATAGTAACCCAAAAGTAAACTGGTACAGTAAACAACGGGCTGAAAGAAATGAAGCACGTGAAACAACCAAACAAAACTTACTACTCTTATCTGCAATAAAATTTGAGGAAACTTATATAAATGTTTCATGAAAGAAAGAGAAGGAAAGCTAGTTACCAAAGAAGAGAAACAAAGGAAACGGCGCGCTGACCACCACCTGCAACTCGTCCACAAATACAACAAGCAACCGCAGAATTACCATTAAACATAGGCCCCCCGACAAAAGCAGAAGTCCTGAAGGCCATCAAGTTGCTGAAATCAGGGAAAGCAGCAGGACAAAGTAGAATTCCTCCAGAAGCACTGAAAACAGACGCAGCGACAACAGCAGACATGCTACCACCACTATTGCAGAAGGTTCAAAAGGAAGGAAAGGAACCTGCAGATTGGGAGAAAGGCCACCTTGTCAAATTTTCAAAGAAGGGAGACCTAAGTCTTTGCAAGAACTGGCAAGGAATCATGCTACACCCCCTTCCACCCCAAGCAAAGAATAAAGCCGCATAATCCTGCAGGGACTAAAGGCAAAATGTTCTATATTCAAACTAACTACCGGAACAGGTTGGCTGGGTGGCTTCAGGAAGAACAAATCAGGTACGGATTAAATTGCAACACTACGCTACGCATCGCATCGCATGGTCATAGAACAGAGCAAAGAATGGCAGTCAACTGGATCTTTACCTTACCTCAACTTCATCGACTTTGAAAACGCCTTGCTTCAATAGCGTCCACCAACAAGTAATTTGGCAGGCTGCTGCTGCTGCTTCAACACTACGCTTCTACTGCCACAAACCTTTATCAAACTCATTCAACAGCTATGTGAAAACGCAACATGACAAGTGATCCACAATGGAAGGCTCAGTGACACCTCTGAAGTGAAGTGAAGATAGGGGGAAGACAACGTTGCCGCCTAATATCACTCATCACCTTCCTGATTGTGGTCGACTCGATCATGCAGCAAAAAGTGAGGAGAGAGAAGATGGGCATACGCTGGCTGGACCGATGAGAAGACCCACAAAATTTGGATTTCGCCACCCATGATGATGATGACGATGATGATTTATGTCTAATGTCTTGTGGCACAAACTCAAAGATCTACAGGCAAAAACTAACAAGTTGACAGGAGAGGCCAGTCAGCGAAGACGGGACTTCAAGTGAAAATAGAGAAGACGGAAATGATGAAGATAACCAACCAACGAGACTATCAACAACAACAAGCTCTGGTCACCACGAACGGGAGAAGCTTAAAGGAAGTAGTCTCATTCACCTATCTAGGCAGCATCGTTTCAACTACAGATGGCACAGAAGAGGATGTCAAAAATAGGACAGGCGTTTATCAACCTGAAACCATTGTGGAGACCTACTGCACTTAGCATAAAGCGTGAACAAGATCCAGATTTTCAACACCAACGTCAAGCCAGTGCTTCTGTATGGTACAGAGACTTGGCACGTTACGAAAGGCATTTCCAACAAACTACAGATATTCACCAACAACTGCCACCTACGCTGGATACTGAAGACCAAATGACCAGAAAGAATAAACAACAAACAACTCTGGCTGACTGGCAACGAACAAACCAAGAACCTATCACCCAACAAATATGCATTGGAAGCAAGTGGAGATGGATTGGACATACACTGAGAAGGTGGTTTGGGGATATCACGTGCCAGGCACTCGAGTGGAACCCAGATGGGAGACGGCGAGTTGGGCGTCCGTGGCGAGGGTGACATGGAGGAGATCGTGTGAGGAATAAATGAGAGCTTGTGGGTAGTCATGGAGTCAGGTTCAAAAAAGATTGCAGAGAACAGAGTGGAATGGAGACGTGCTACTGAACCTCTATGTTCCACTAGGAACCTGTTGTGATGCCTCAGTTTTGTATAAAACATTGTTATCGATCCGAACATTTTAACGTGTCATTCCCACATTATTTTTACTGTATGACTAATAGTCTATTTCTGCCTGATTTGTAATGTAATTTGCTGATTGGTTAACTTTTACGCTTACTATGCGAATTCCTCCAATTGCGGACAAGGTCATTTTTGATGTGCATACTTATTCACTTGTTTTGGATTGATTCATCGTTATTGTATTATATTCTCGGAGTAATACACTGTTCCATCTGCCAGCTTCGGTCTTCTCTCTATTCGTCCAGGGTTGCAGCCAGTGTCTCTTGCGTACCAAGTTAGCTTTCAGCTAAGCGCGCGTATTATATTCGTTTCGGAATATATACATATACCATTAGCACTTCGAAACCATAACAGAACCCAAAGGACAAATAGTGTCAATAGTAGTAATAAACTATGTTTAAGGAACTTTTGAAAACTTTCTTACATTATTCATATATGTATTTTTTTTCTTTACAATTTCAGGATCTAACTCATTCATTTAATGTTGCCAGTCGAAATAGTAATGTGACAACAGGGTCAAGCGATATACAAGTGTATGATACAGCGGTAAACGTGCTACCGAGGCCCTATGTTCCACTAGGAACCCAAGGGACAAATAAATAATAAATAAATACAGTACCTACTGCAATTTCAGTTCGTCACTGTAGCGACGACTGGAGTCAAGGTTCAATCTGAATTTCTGCACACGATGTACAGTGAATTAAGCTACAGTAAGGAAGGTCAAAGTTTATCTAGC